TTTGATTTATTGCAGAGATAAGGTCTCGCCAAGTTGCCCAGGCGGGTCTCGAACCCGTGGGCTCGGGCAATCCACTCACCTCAGCCTCCCAAAGCGCGGGATGACAGGCTGAGCCACCGCGCCCTGCTTAACTTTATTTTTGAAGTCGGAGTCTCATGGCCAGCACAGCCTCGACCTCCTGGGCTCAGGCGATCCTCCCGCCTCAGCCTCCCGAGTAGCCGAGACCACAGATGCCACCATGCCCACCATGCCCAGTTATTTATTTATTTTTTTGGTTTATTGCAGAGACGAGATCTCACCATGTTGCCCAGGCTGGTCTCGAACTCCTGGGCTCAAGTGACCCTCCCGCCTCCGCCTCCCAAAGTGCGGGGATGACAGGCGTGAGCCGCCGCGCCCAGCCTACCATGCCTTCCAGAAGGGCCTCGCCTGGAGCCCCCCGGTCCGGGTGGTTCTTCAGGACCCCTGTGCCCCAGCTGGCGCCCACCCCACCCCTCACCTCCGATCTATCATCTGGTAGCATTTCTTCAGCCAGCCGATGCCGGGCATCCTCCGTCGTGGCGTGGCGCCGTTCAGGTACACGATCATGTAGTCCTCGGCCACGAGGAGCTCCAGACTGCTGATGACGTACCTGGTCATGGGCGTGGGAGACGGGGTGTGTCTGCAGGCCCCGCCCACCTGCCTGGCTCCGCCCCCCACCCGGCTGGGCCGGCCTCACCTGTCCCAGCACACTCCAGGGTGGGGCGTGGAGGCCGAGGCACCAGCCCACGCCAAACTGTCCGTGAGCATCCTCATGGCAGCAGCGACCATGCTATGGCGCACGTATTAGGCACCAAGTGTTTACTTATATCGTTTCTCAATTTTTTTTTGAGTTGGAGTCGCACTCTGTCGCCCGGGCTGGAGAGCAGCGGCACGCTCACGGCCACCGCAGCCTCGACCTGCAGGGCTCAGGCGATCCTCCTGCCTCAGCCTCCCAAGTAGTTGGGGTTACAGGTGTGCACCACCAGACCCGGTTAATTTTTTTATTTTTATTATTGAGATGAGGTCTTGCTATGTTGCCCAGGCTGGCCTCAAACCCTTAGACTCAGGCAATCTTCCTGCTTTGGCCTCCCAAAGTGCTGGGATGGCAGGCGTGAGTCACTGTACCTGGCCAGCTCTCAATATTATCATCGGGTGCTTTTTAGATATGATCTGCATCTCCCATAAGAAAGCTGTGTCGGCCGGGCGTGGTGGCTCACGCCTATAATCCCAGCACTTTGGGAGACCGAGGTGAGAGGATTGCCTGAGCCCGGGGGTTCGAGACCAGCCTGGGCAACTTGGCGAGACCTCATCTCTACAAGAAAGAAAGAAGGAAAGAAGGAAAGAAAGAAAGGAAGGAAGCTGTGTGTCCTTGGGCAGGTGACAACCTCTCTGAGCCTCCAGCTGCTCGCCTTTAGAAGGGGCAACGGTATCTACGCCATGGGCTTGAGCTAAAGGCGGAAGCACTTAGCCTCGTGGCTGCCGCATAGTAGATGCTCAATAAATGGCCGAGATGAGGAGGATGAGGAGGCTACCGGCGATCTGAGCCAGCCTGGACTCAGACCGAGGTCTGCGGCCTCCGGGCCCCTCCCTGGTGTGGGACAGCGCCTCCCGGGCCCCTGCATGGCCCTCAAAGCCCGGTGGACCTCGTCCCGCCACCCGACTGGGGGTTCTCAGGCCCGGCCGGGGCCGCGACTCACAGGAAGAGGTTCTCCATGATGTAGTGGTAGTCGGGGAGGCTGCTGTCCGGCAGAAAGCAGGCGGCAAAGACAATGATGGCGTTGAGACCCTCGCCGTAGTACCCTGGGGACGGGCAGCAGTGAGCGCCGGCGGCCCCCAGACTCTGGGCTCCGAGCCACCCCGCCTGCTCCAGAGGGTGACTCTGAGTCACAGCGGGCAGGGGGCTGGGGGAGCCAGCAGCCCCCGGCCAGTGTCCGTCACCCTCAGGGCACCCCTGCGTGCGCCTCCAAGTCCACGCTGGGCCCACGGCCCGCCCTGAGCTGACGGCCTTGGCATCAGAGGAAGAGACAGAGGTTCAGAGTGGGCCACTCACCTCCGTGGGTGACAACCTTCATGTAGGGCCGGATCATGTGCAGGTCGATGCGATGCTCCTGCTCCCCGATGATCACTGTCCTCCACAGGCGCCCGTTGGCGGCCCCGCCTTCGTCCGCCGCGCCGTCTCCAAACAGGTCCGCGCTGTCCCCAGGCATGTTCTTGGCGGTGGCCACAGGCGTGTCATCTGGAAGCAGGCCAGGGAGGAGTGAGCTGAGGGGACACCCGGGTCCAGGAGCCTCCTGGCCTCCCACCCAGCCTTCCCCTGTGGCTTCCTCCGCTCCCGGAGGTGGAGGATCTTTCCTCAAAGGCCACCTCCTCCAGGAAGCCTTCCTGGATATCCCCTTCACTGGCCTCCCAGAGCCCTCTGTGGGTTTGAGGCCCCTGTCCGGGGGCCTCCCAGAGCCCGTGGCAGTGTCTGCTTCTCCCACGAGGGTGCTCCAGGACTGGGTGCTTGGGTTTTAGCTTCCTTGGAGGCCGGCCCATGGAGAGGGGGGGTCAAGCCCCGTCCCGGCCCCCGGTGACATCTGGATCCCCCCTTGCCTGGTTCACCCGCTCCAGCAGCCCCCAGATCCCGCCTTAGCACCACACACCCACCTCAAGGGCCCGGCCTCCCTTTCCTTGGGCCTGGACCCAGCCCTGTGGTTTGTTGCCTGACTGTTAGAGAGTTGATTCCAGGCCCAAGTCGGGCCACG